GTGGAAAGGTTTGAAAATAGGTTGGCAAGTTGGAAAAGGAATTATATCTCCTTGGGAGGGAGAATAACATTGATAAAATCCACTTTGGCTAATCTTCTAGTCTATTACATTTTGGTCTTTAGGATGTTAGGAATTGTGATTAAAAGAATTGAGAAGATCATGAGGGATTTCTTGTGGGAGCCTGGAGAGGGGAAAAAAGATCATTTGGTTAGGTGGGAAAAGGTGAGACAGTTGAAAGAGGAAGGGGTTTTAGAAATAGGAAATGTGAAGATGAAAAATGCGTCTCTGTTAAGTAAATGGCTTTCGAGGTTCCCTAAAGAAAATGAGAAATTATGGACTAAAGTTATTTCAAGTATCCATGGGTCATTAAGCAATGGTTGGGATGTGGGCTGCTTGCATAGAGCTACTTTGACTGCTCATTGGAAGGGCATCCATGAAACACTTCCTTTGTTTCTACCCTACATCAAGTATGATTTGGTTTCAGGTCTGAAAATCAGATTTTGGGAGGACATTTGGATTGGGGATTCCCCCTTGTCTGAGGTGTTCCCTTCCCTTTGAGAGAATCTGAATTGTCTAGTGTCTCTGCTTTGGTTAATTTGCTGAACTCTATGGTCTTGGGGGACAGTGGTTCAAACTCTAGAGTTTGGGCACTCAATCAGTTAGGGTCTTTCTCTTGCAAATCCTTCTTTTAACTCTCTAGTTGCTTCTGATACCTCCCCTTCTTTCCCTATCAAGGAGATTTGGACTTGCCCCATCCCTCCTAAAGTCAATGCATTCTGTTGGGAAGTGTTCCATGGCTCCATTAATACCTGTTATCTGCTTCAGAGAAAAATACCAACTTGGTGCTTGTCCCCAAATTGGTGCTTCTTATGTAAGCTGCACGGTGAGATTGCCTTTCATCTTTTAATTTCCTGTCCTTTTGTTAACTTCATTTGGGAGTGGTTATCCTCTTTGTTTGGTTGCAGCTGGACTCCTACTAATCTGGAATCCTTCTTAAGCTCTCACTTATTCTGGTGTTCTAAAAGGAGACACATAATCATGGGTAGATACACTAGGGCAGCAATCGCTTGGACAATTTGGGAAGAAAGGAATATGAGGATATTTGATGACAAAGAGAGGAATAAAGAAACTGTGATTGAAGTGATAACTCTAAGGGTGGCGCATTGGGTGAAAACACTAAAATTGTTTGCTGATTTTAAGATAGAAGACTTTTTCAGATCATGGGGAACAATCGCAAACACTGCATCTAGAAAATCTATTGTAATTGAATCCTGGTTCCCTCCGCATGCTGGGTGGAAGAAACTAAATTTTGATGGCAGCTGTTTGGGAAATTCGGGGCCAGCGGGCATTGGTGGACAGATTAGGGATGTGAATGAAAATTTGGTTGCCATGTTTTTTTTATCAGCAACACAAAATTGATTCATTAGATTAAAAAAAAGAGGTACAACAAAGATTTGTGGGCACAAAAACAAAGTCCATCCAGAAACTATTCCCTATTTACAGAATTGCCCAGAACATAGTGTCTTTGAGTTCCTTGCTTTGCCAGACCATCAGGCAAACTGTTTGCAGACCTCTAATCCATCTTATTTGGATCATCATATCTTTAGAAATCTGCTTGAATCTCCTGAATTCATTCCTTAACTTCCATATGATTCCTTCCCCTTTTTTCAACCAGCCCACAACTACTTTTGAATCACCTTCAATAATCAGCTTAGTAATCCCCATTTCTTTAGCTTTCTCTACTCCATAGACTGCTGCCAATAATTTTGATCTCACCACATCTCCATTCTGAATAGGACTTGAGTACAAAGCTAGAATGTTTTCATTTTCTTCCCTAATTACCCCACCAATACCCAATGGTCCAGGATTGCCCATACAACTACCATCAAAATTTAATTTCTTCCACCCAACACATGGAGGAGACTAGGCTTCATGAACAATCTGTCTTCTAGACGAAGAACCTGTAATTATTCCCCACGATCTGCAGAAATCTTCAACCTTAAAGTCAGCAAAGAGCTTTAAAGTGCTCACCCAATGCGCTACTCTGAGAGTAATCACCTCAACCACAGCTTCTTTACTTCTTTCCTTGTCTTCGAAGATTCTTAGATTCCTTTCCTCCCAAATTGTCCAGACCACTGCTGCTCTAGTGCATCTCCACATAATTCTGCCTCTTCTTTTAGGGCAACTGAAAAGGTGAGAGCTAAAAACACCTTCCAAACAATCAGGGGAAGCCAACTGCATCCAAAAAGAGATGAAAACCACTCCCAAATAAAAGTAGCAAAAGGACAGGAGATCAAAAGATGAAAGGCTCATCATTCAAACCAGACTAGAACACCACTCTCTCTTGTTCTTTCTTCTTCTCTTTTGTCTTCCCAAAAACCCTATCACGACCTAGGCTTTCAAGAACTGATTTAGATCAGTTTTCTTCTTTGTTTTTGCAAGAAAAACTCTGAAGAAAATCAGGTTCACTTACCTCATTTGATTCAAGCAAGTTGGATCACAGTTTTGCTGAAAACAGTGTGGCTGAACCAGCTTCACCTACACACTGCGCCATTTTCAGTGAAGGATGGTTTTAGGACTGATTTGGGCGTGAACTTTCACCTTGGGATCTGCATATGTGGAATCCATATCAGGTATACATCTCCCTTTTTGTTTGGTTTCAAATCTGGTCCGGTTCAGTGTAAGATCGATTCTGAAAATTTAGTTTTCAAATTCACTGGGAAATCGATTCCCATAAGGGTTAGAAATTTTTTTGAAATTTCACCCAGCCATCTGGCATGGTTTGGCCATCTATATGATGGATTCTAAACCCTTTCAACAGATGGACCTCCAACATGTGAGTTTGAATGTGTGAAGAATGAAAGGAGAGATTTGAAAGGTAAGTGAAGCGATAATGTGTCTCTCCTTCCACCTTTAATATGATAACTCATCTATACTAGTGGATTAATAAACAAGTAAAATGTTCTTTAAGCATCTAACCTATTTGATTCCTATAAATCTTCAGTCTCGTTGTCTGACAACCTCCATGAGTGGTGACACTCATGCTGCTAGGACAACAAAAAGATCCATTAATAGCTTGATGCTTCTAAAGAAATAGAATTAGGAAAATGGAAGTGCTGAAATGGTAAAAAGAGCAGATAAAGAAAGGCGAGCATCTAGTCCCTGGACATAATATTCTACTTGTCTATATTCTTCACTTAGAGTACTAGCTACATCTTATCCCCTTCTTGTTTTAGTCCTTTGAGATCCATGTCTTGAAGCTAAACTAAAATTAGGGCCTGTTCGTTTCCTCTTAACTCTTATCTCTTAAGAGGAATCTTTTAACTTTAAGAGAAAAATGGTTGTTCGTTTCCTCTTATCTCTTATTTCTTAAAGTGTAATCATACAAATTTTTGGTTTCCAATGATACCCTCAAAAAGACAAACAAAAGCACTCATATATGGGGTCAAAATAGATATTTGATAATTTTCATAATTCAGAATTCAGAACAACATTCTCTGCATTCAGAGTTCTGAGGAAAGAAAAGTTCACCAGTACCAATATATCTCTTAATGTAATCATTGCACTTTCACATGTCAGACTTCAGAGCAAATGAACATGCCCTTAGTTATGCATAATTTCATTCATTACAAGTTATTATTGTAAATTGATAATGTTTTGTTGTTTACTGTGGATTTGATCTGCCAAAGACCAAGATGATTAAAGCAGTGTTTGATGTGTCTTTCGGTCTGCAGAAAGCTCAAAAACCTAAAAAATGTTCCTTTTCCATTTGGTATCGTGTAGACTGAAAGACTTGAAGACGAGTGCACAGAAAGACCAAAAAATCCGAAATTGGGAAGCTTCAAATGATGTTTCTGGTCTTTCCACGCTGAAAATAGCCTTCCCAGTTGTTTTTAACAGCCCAGTAGACCATGACATGGACCAAACAGTCTTGGTCTTTAAAGACAAGGCCCCAAAAGCTCAGTGCGCCTTTTTGTCTATTGGGCTGTTGAAAGATCTACCTAGAAAGACTTGTCAAACAGCCCCTAAATGTTGCTTTCTTCGTCTTCTTTTTGACTGGCTAATCACAATATGTCAGAACACCAATTTGCATGATTACTGCTTGAAAAATAGATTTTAGCTTATTGTCTGCCATAGTCCTACATCTTTTAAGGGAAATTTAGATACATTAGAGTTTAAAAGGTAGAAGCATGTGGAAGAAAGGGAAGGACATTCATGTTTGTAGAAGCAAGAAGTGGGTGATTTTTCAGAGGAATATAGCATTTTATGCATACAAATTCAAAATTAGAGAAATACAGATGTATCAGAAAGAAAGGAATAGTAGATCATGTACAAAGATATTTAACGCGCATTCCCTTCTCTTTCAGCATATGAACTTCCATTATACATACAAATACGTGAAACATTAATGTCCAATATGCAACCAGGACTTTTCCAAGGCATTTAATGGTTGTTAGAAACCTATTATGCTGGTTGATCCACTATAAATTCTTTTGGGGTGTGTGTGTGTTCCAAGGAAGGTCACATAGGGATTTAAGATCTACTCCCTTCTCTTTTAGTACATCAGCTTTTCATTCTTCGCAATGAATATGCCAACAATATTTAACATGTGACCGCAAACTCACAAAGGCACTTAATGGTTATAAAAGTTGTGATTCCATTGACCTATTTTCTTGAATGCTGTGGTGGGTACAAACATTTCTTTTTTCTTTCAGCACATCAACTTTTCATTCTTCACAATGGATATGTCAAAACAATATTTAACATGTGACAACAAATTCATAAAAGCATTTCATGGTTATAGAAACTTATGATTCTATGGACCTATTCACTATGAATGCTGTGGTGGTACAAGCATTTCTTTTTCTTTTTTCTTTTATTTACTGAACAGTTTTTTTCCTTGTTTAAGTATGGATATATTAATTTGTGTTTTATATCAAAGGACTTCTATAGATTGTTGACCAATTCCTTTTATATGTCATCTTCTTTGCTAATTGCAGCGTGTAGCTCTGGAACATGGGCTGATATTAGTGGACACAAAGTATGAATTTGGGAAGGGATCTGATGGGACAATTCTTTTGATTGATGAGGTTGGTCTTCATTTTGCCAAGAGCAGAAAAATAGTTTACTTCATAACTAAGGTTAAAAAATAGCCCACTTATTTCTAAACTCTCATATCCATAATGTTAAAATCTAGGTCCATACTCCTGATTCCAGCAGATACTGGATTTCACATTCTTACGAGGAGCGGTTTCAAAATGGTCTTGAACCTGAAAATGTTGATAAGGTACATTCCTTGTTTCAGTGCTTTTCTTGCTTCTTGCTTGTTAAGCATTTTCTGGATTTGTGAATGTATTTCATTGGTGATTGCATTGCTACACCAATATTTTGTTTCTGATTGCATAAAATAGTCTTATGCCTTGTATTCCCTGCTGCATTTTTCTTATCTCTTAGTATAAGGAAGACATCAATTGGGAAAGCTATATTCTGCTAACAATCATGATGAATTATCTGTTTTTAGGAGTTTTTGAGGTTGTGGTTCAAGGATCATTGCAATCCATATGAAGATGAGGTAACCGACACCAAATCAGCAATGGTTCAAATTATGTTTTCCTTCATTGTTTACGCATGTATATATATGCAAAATCTCACTTGATGAGCCAAAAATCTGTAGGTCCTTCCTGATGCTCCTGAAGATCTTGTTTGTGAGCTTGCTTGGCGGTATGTGCTATCAGTTGTTTATGCCTTTCAAATTAGATTGTGCTTCTATAACAAATCATCATGGTCAAATTAGATTGACCATTTGATAGAGAAGTTCTACTTTATATTTATATATTTAAGAGTGGGGAAAGGAGCCAAGTCATGTGTCATGCTTGACTCATTTTTTACCACAACATTGTGCTAACTTTTGTCCCTAGCAATGATGTTGTATGTTGGGATTCGATTGCATCTAGTGGTGATCATGGGCCAGGCCAGGCTGGGCTTAACACCTATGGTAATGGGCATAGCTCAGGTCTATAACCTTAATATATTCTATACTATATGTAATATTTATCACATATATGATATTGATAGGTAGCTGTGAAAAAAATTTTATTGATAGTCAGAAAATAATATACAAGATTAAGATTACAAGCGAGTCCTTGGGTAAGTAGCTAGTGCTACCTCCCCCAAGTAGCTAGTGCTACCTCTCCCAAGTAAGCAGTTTGGGAATCCCTATTAAGATTACAAGATTATAGTTGAGCTCAATACAAAGAATCCCTATTAACCCTCTATTTGGCTAAAGAATCAGCCAGCCCATTTGCCAACCACTGTACCCATTGAACTCTTATCTCCAGTTTCTAGTCAACCTTTTGATCCTGTTTAACTCATTCCTGTATGCCCAAATTGCTTTCTCATTGTCCAACAGCCATTCAATCACAACCATGGAGTCACCTTCCATGATTAACTTGTCCAAATTCATATCTCTAGCCCATTGGATTCCTTGGATAGCAGCAAGGATCTCAGCCCTTGTAGAGTCTCCAAAAACCGATTAGACTTGAAAATAAAGCTACAATATGACCAATTATGTTTCTAGAAGCTCCAACCACTCCTAAAGGACGTGGGTTTCCAAGGATTCTACCACAAAAGTTTAATTTGATGAAGTCTCCTTTAGGTGGAATCCATTGTTTTAGGACTCTTTGTTTTCCTTGAATAAGATGCAGCCACTTCCCTTCACTTCCTCCTCACATTCTCAAAGGAAACAGGTGCAAATAAGTCAAGAGTCTTAACCTGATATAACACCCTGGCCATAATGCATTCAATAACTGCTTCATTAGTCCTTTCCTCATCTTTAAAGATTCGTGCATTTCTTTCTTCCCATACTGTCAACATAATTGTAGCCCTTGTGCTCCTCCACATAATCCTTTCTCTATTCCTTGGTCAAACAAAAGTTTTGGCATTGAAAATTCCACCCTTGTGCTCCACATAATCCTTTCTCTATTCCTTGGTCAAACAAAACTTTTGGCATTGAAAATTCCAGCCACACCTAAAAAGAGGGAAAACCAATCTTAAATGCTAGAGATAAATAGACAGGAGATAAGTAAATAATAGCAAGCCTCACCATTGCCTTGCAAAAAATGCACCAATTTGGGGATATTCACCAATTCAATCTTTTCCTTTGTAAGGTGTCCATGGTACACCTCCCAACAAAAAGCTCCAATTTTGGGGGGAATAAGTTAGAACCAGACTTCTTTTGTGGGGAAGGTCAAAGAGTATGGAGAGGAAGGGGCAAGGGTTTGGAAAAAGGAAGCACAAGAAAAGGTGCCCAAAGGTTGAGGAATCCAAATATGCATAACTAAGAAAGGGCCAAACGAACCCCTTTTATGACTTGCAGAAGATTGACTATTTGATTAGACTTACAATCCCTGAGCCCTCTTCTCAGTCCTAGATCCGAATCAAGCCACCAGATGAAAGAGAGATTGATAGGAATTTCAAAATTGGTTCCCTGTTATAATTGGAAATAAAATACATAGATGGAAAAAAGGTCTTTCAGAGTTGAACTACCCACTCAAAGGTCTTTACAAAACAAAACCTTATCCCTAGAGCATCATACCTGATATGACTTGGAAATTTTTGTAGGATAACATGGATAGTCTTCTAGGGGGAAGCATCCCAGCTGTTCATCATCCTGTGAATGCTTACTACTTATGCCATAGCTTCTCATGATCAAGGGGTAGCCTCCACAGCCACTTAGCAGTGCGCATTCTTTGCTCCCATGTGTCCAATTCCCAGACCACAACATGGAATTGGAAATTCTGTTTTGTATTCATTTGCTGCATCATGTCACCTTTTTTAAATATGCAATTTAGTAATTTAGTTATTTGATCCACATGAACACTTGGTGGAGGTTTTGAGTTGTGAGGAAGAATTGATTTAATTTTTTTATTTGGTGAGAGGTGTTGGGCTTGCTTCTGGTGTATGATGACTATGGTCTATGCAAGCCTTGGGAATGTGTTTGCCAGATGGTATTGGGTGGTTCAGTTTGGCTGAGTTTGGAAGGAGTACAAATGCAAATACGTAGAGTCAAAACCTTATATTTTGTATTATTTTGTATGTATTTACGCTGTACATATTTGCATTTGTACTGCTTCCAAACTGAGCCTTTTGGGCTGTGTTAGATGCTTATTGTGTATTACTTTAGTAGTTGCGAGCATTCTCATTTATCTTACAAAAAAATATCTTATATATTTTTTTCTTGGGTGCACAATGTATTATTATTTTTATCTTAAAGTTTTTTAAAAGAACAATATTGTCAGACTTGGACCTGACTGAAAGTTGAAGCAATATCTGGTGAGCTTTCTGGGTCTTGGTTTATTTGACAGTTCTTATGGGCTGAACGATTTAACTGGTAAAACCATGACCAAGTGAGCTTTCTGGTTTTCAGTCTGGTCCAAATCTGACAACGTTAAAGAAAATTCACAATACATGATCAATTTACATGTCCCTTCATCTGATATCATATCAGAGTAGGTGTTTTTTTCTTCCTTTTAGTATCAACAAAACTGTCAATAAAAAGTCAATAGAACCCTTTGATAGCCATTGCTGGTAATAATTCAATTAACAGTACATGATCAGGGTTCACAAGTTTGGACAGTGGGATACAAGTGTGCTACCATTTGGGATGACGAGGACAAACCTTTTTCCTGACCTTAAGTAAAAGAGTGCATCCTTGGCTTTAAACTGGGCTGCATGCAAGGAGGCGCCATCGATGCAAGCTGGGGTGCTATGCTGGATTTTTAATTTAATGATTCTTTAATGACTCTTCCTTTAAAGTATATTATGTTTAGTATGTAGTTTTGTGTTTCCATATCTTAGGCATTTGATTGTTTATGGCAGATATATTTTCCTGTATGAGACAATTACAGCATCAAAATTTGAGATGCCAGGAACAAAGGTAATAAAAGTGCTGAGCTTAATTCTTTTTTTTTTCTGGTAGTGCTGAGCATAATTAGTACTCGTTGCGATGTGATTGCTTATATTGGACTTTTTGTGCTTTTTCTGCAGGAGCTAATACATGACCGAATATCAAGGAATGTATCGAAGGCACTGGCATCCCTATAACGACTTGGTACATTACAGATGGAAAACTATGAGTGCTGTCCAGAAGGATACTGGAAGCTAATACATGCTTATTTACAAACAATGTATCGAAGGCACTTCAATGACCATCCTTAATTATGGACAACTCTCTCCCCCCACCCTTTTCACTGGAAACGGTTAGGATTAGTTTGGAAGGAGTACAATAGTGCAAATACATACAAAATACAAGGTTTTGCACTCTACATTGTATTTGTGCTCCGCCTTGAGAACAATCCGGTACCAGAAGAACGAACATATATTGTAATTTTACATGAAAATTATTTATTTTGATTTCTGTTATGAACCCAAGTAAGCTATTCTGAGAAGGTGACCAAAATCATTCTTTTTTTTTTTTTTTCATTTTTTTGGGTGGGTAGGGGGTGTAATCTTCTAATGTCTCAGGGACAGAGACACCTGACCAGAGTCTGAAATTGACGATCTTGATAAATATGACCTTTTCAATTTGTATTTTGTAATTTTGTATAGACAAGTCAGCAGTCAGCGCTGGAGGGGAATTAAGCATAGATTATTTATTTTTTGATGGATAGAAGCAAAATTTTTTAGCTGGTTATGTTCTATACTCATTAACACTAGTAGACATGTTAATACCTAAATTTGACGAAAGTTCACTTTGTGAGCTTCCACTGTGGTAGCTATTATATGTAAGTCCCTCATTGAAAGACTGCTAAAGGCTGTAAACATTAGACATGGTGGAAACATCATAAAATCTGCAATATTCGATCATATTTTATAATATGGTAAGAAGCACAAATTCATCCTTTTAGATTGTTATTTTGTTACAAATGTTAATACAAGACAAGGAACAAAGGTTAATATATGTAGAGAAACAATATAGTAGTTATTTCTTTATTTTATCAGTTTGGGCCTTGTCATGGGCTTGTTAGTTGGGCCTACATTAGTTATTGTTATATTCTATTAAGCAGAGTCTTGGTCAATAGGGATATAATGGTCTTTGTAAGTTAATTTATGATAGAAATCTATAAATACAAAATCTGGGCAGCAGAAAAGATATTACTGCTCCTTTTCATTCTTCTTCTCTCTTCTTTTCTTCTCTTTCTATCTTCTCTCTTCTGTTTTTCTCTTTCTGTGTTTTCTTGTTGAAATTTTAACTTGAGTATAGGTTGAAGGTGATTAACATCAGCCTTCTTGGTATCAGAACAAGGTGTAAGGCCTACTAGGGTTCTCATGTGTTCTTGCTCCAGTCGACTTTATGAAGATAAACTAGGGCTAGATTTTTCTGTCAGACTTACCTGGTTCTTGGAGGTTTGTTAGATGAGTTTATGTTGCTAAAATGATGCAACAACATACAGGAAACTTGTTGAAACAAATAGTGTTTGAATTCCTTGCTGGACTGAATTCATAATTGAAGGGATGAGAGATCTATCATATGGATGGCCGAACCTTGTAGGAAGGTTGGGCAAAATTTCAAAAATTTCTCTCCCATGTGGGAATTGCATTTCCTATTTTAGAAAACTGCATTTTCAATGATCAATCTTGAAACCAAACCGGACCAGATCTGAAACCAAAAGGGAGTAGAGGGATATACCTGATACGGAGTAATAGTAAACCCCCAATGAAGGTGTTCATGCCCAAGGAGAAGACCAAAGATTGCTTCCACCGAAGACACGGTGTGAGGTGAAGCAGAATCAGTAGGATGGTTCTTCAGCAAGAACTGAATTCTTCAACAAGAATATGATGAAGGGCTGGTGAGTACGACTTCATTATGCCTCTTCTAGCAAAAGGAAATATCAATAACCGTTCTTGATCACTCCCACTGGTGGAGATCGAACTGGGTAGGGCGGTAAGAGCAAAAAAGAACAAGAGAAAAAGACAAGTGCAGGCAAACTGTGTTGTCTCTCTCTTAATTCAGCTGACTATGAGATGCCTTTTGAGGTTCGCCCTGCTTTCCTATTTATAGCCTTAAAGAGAGGTTCTCCTAATCTCATTAGGAATTTCCTAATCCAAATCTTATATTTGGATCTAGACTCTTTTTAAGAGATAAAGATAATCCCTTATCTTATCTACAGATGAAGATCAACCTTCCTAATCTAATTAGGAGTTTCCTTATCCAAATCTTTATTTAGATCTTGACTCTTTGAGTGGATAGGGATAAATCCTTATCCTATCAGTTGATCCAAATCCCAGAACCGCCCCTTAATTAATTAATCTTATTAAGCCAGTTTGAATGGGCTTTAGGCCCATTAAGTTTATGTGCTCACTTAGCCTCTTAACCTGTTGCCCAGTTGGCTATTCTTGTATGGCGTGGGACCCAAACATTAATCTACGCATCAGCCACATGGGTTCAACCCAGCATTTGTTACAAGGCCTAGCCGAATTCACTGTAGGAGACAGTTAACCCATGAGTCCATCACCATGGGCTCTTAACGGGCCCAACATTTACACTAAATGGTCATTGGGTTCAGCCACCTTATGAAAATCTAAGGACTGTGGGCAGATGCAAGATTAGCCCATCAGGTATTACCCTCAATGGTCTTACACTCAACTTCTCAGCCCATAATGATCAAACACTGCCCAACAAAAGAGGACCTCTCCCTCGGCTGCAAGGTACAGTGCTGCACTCTCTACTCATAAGGATCCCGGGAATTAAAAACTTTTGCAAACATTTTGAAACCATAATATATATATATATATATATATGTATATCTTTATATAAATATATTTTGTAAAAACAAATTTCAATGGTTGAAATCAACTGCCAGTAGTTTAGGTTTTCATCAGAGAGAGTGCATCCCCGATTACACTTTGTCCGACAAAGGGGCTAATCCTGTCACTATGATCACCCATTCAGATGAATTCTCGGACTGTCCCAACATACACAGATTTTGACCCCCTCTAAGAATCTCACTGATTGGCATATCAAAGACAGCCCAATCCGGCACCTAGTGCAGTATCATAATCGAGTCTAGGGGTCAGGTGTAACGTTCCAGTTTTTCCCATCTATCTCCAAGGTCCAAGGCAATACTAGAATTTTGATCCGGTTCAGGGTTTCAAGAAAACCCACACTGCATGTACCTCAGGTCTCACCCTGGCAGTTGAGACAAGCCACCTCAACCAACTTGGCGGCACATCAGTGTCAGCCTTGACAAGATAAATCTCTCCAGATCTATCCAACGACTGTGAAGATTCTAAACTAACACGAGTCTCATTAAATGTCCAGTTTAAGGGTATTACACAGAAACACACCACAATGACATGAATCAATTATGTACTTTTATTCATTTACAATAAATGTAAAAAATGTACATCAATCTGATTGAAGCTAAATGGCATAACTGTCTAACAATAATGACATTGTGAGGTTGCAATTACTTACTAGGGATAGTGTCTCTTTGTTCCAAGCCTATTTACTAGTACATAATGAAGAGAGTAAAAGGAAGATTATGTTATAGTCTTACAAATCCCACCCATGGAATCAACCTTGGTTGTAGTGAGACCTAAGCCTATTGGTAATAAAGAGAAAGAAATAAGGAGGGAAGACAAAAGGGAGATGGTTTGTGATTATGGTAAGAAGCCAAAGCACACTAAGGACTCCTGTTGGAAGCTGTATCCCCATCTTATCCAAGCAAAACTTAGAAATAAGAAGGGTGGTGCCAATGCAGCTATTACTTCTGATGGTGCGTCTTCCTCTACTACAAAATCTACATCCCTAGATGCCTTAGCTATAGTAAAAGTTGCTTGTACTCAATTAGAGTGTGAAGTTGGAGCCTCAGGATTAGCCCAGTCATCTAGATAAGTTACTACCACTACTCCCAGCTCAACTTTTGCTCACTCAGGTAATAAGAACTACTACCTATCATGCTTCAGCCCCAAGTAACTCTAGCCCCCTATGGATTATTGATTTAGGAGCTTCTGATCACATGACTAGTTTATCTTATGTATTTACTTCCTACTCATTATCTTTGGACAGAGACAAGGTTTCTATTGCTAATGGCTCCCTTGTACCTATTTCTAGAAAGGGAGATATCAGAGTGTCTGATTCCATCTCCTTGTCTTCTGTCCTTCATGTCCCCAAACTCAGCACTAACTTGATTTTAGTGAGTAGCATTACTAAAGCTAGAATTGCTCAATAACCTTCTTCCTTGATCATTTTATCTTTCAAGATCTGGCAACAAGGAAGGTGATTGGAACTTGCCATGAGGCGAATGGAATCTACTTGCTTGAGCATCCACCTGGGAAGAGGAAAGAGGTTGGTAAGTCTTTTGTGTCTCAGTCTGAGTCAGATTATGTTCTGACATAATTGGTTGGGTCATTTGTCTTTTGAGTCTTTGAAGAGTCTTTTTCCTACTTTGTTTGTGTCAGCCCAATTGTCTAGTTTGAGGTGTGAGTTGTGAATTTTCAAAGCATTGCAAATCAACTTATTCCTTGAGTAATAAAAGAAGCATTGCTTTTGAATTTGTGCATATCGATGTTTGCAATGGGTGGATACATATATTTCCTTCTATTTGTGGATGATTACTCCCAGTTTTCTTGGATTTATCTTATCTGTTCTTGATATGATGTACCCACTTTGACCCATGTATTCCACTAGATGGTTTTGACCCAATTTGGAATCAGAATAAAAAAAAATCTTAGATTTGATAATGCCAAAGAGTATTTTGCAAAGCCCTTGGCCTCACATCTTCTGGAGTATGGGGTTATTCATCAGAGTACACCCTAGTAGAATGGAATAGTTGAGAGAAAGAATAGACACATTCTGGAAGTTGCTAGGAGTATCATGCTGAATTCTAATATTCCCATTCATTTTTTTTTTGGGGGGGGGGTTGCCATCCACACAACTATTTATCTTATTAACAGAGTTCCTTCACAGGTTTAGGACATGAAAGCTCCTTTTAACCTATTGTACCCCGATAAGGTCCAATTCACCATTCCCTTTAAGACTTTTGGATGCACTTGCTTGTTCAAATCCTTGAACCTCACCATTCCAAATTTGATCCTAAGACAACCAAGTGTATTTTTCTTAGGTATGCATAAAATCAAAAGGGGTATTGCTGTTGTGATCTTGTCACTAAGACTCATTTTGTGTCTATGGATGTTATTTTCTTTGAACATATTCCTTATTATTCTAGGATTTCTTCTCAGGGGAGAGTGGTGAGCAGGGTGTTTTTGCTCAAGAAGTCCCTTTGCCTTTTCTTGTCACTGAGGGGGAGAGAAGTGAGGGAGGCTATTAGAAGTGCAAGGAGTTGAGGGTATTTCATAGACGATGGTGGAAGCAAGTTGGTTCCAATGATGAGTAGTCCAACCACTTCCAGTCACTTCTGAGGCTCTAGATTCAGGCATTACACCCTCTGTACCCACAATTTCTACAAAAGATATGCCTACCACCACCATTGAACCTAAACCACCGACAAATGATCTTGACCTTCCTATTGCAATATGCAAAGGGAAACACCGTTGCACCTAGGGTGGATTCGAGATGAGTCGAGCCGAATACTTGGCTATTTGAGCTTGACTCACAGGAATAGTATTGGGCTCAAGCTCGAGCTCCTTGGTTCATAGCTCACAAGTTCAAGCTCGACTCAGA